TTTTATTATTTTTCTTTCTTTAAAATAAAAAAAGAACAATGTGCTACTCTGCAGCATATATTGTACTGAATTTTGTCAAAATTTTTTTAACATTTACACATTTATTATAAAGGATATTTCAATGGCTGTGGAAGACAGTCAGATGAAAGCACTGACAGGACAAGGACAGCTCTCCAAGCTAGGAACCTCCACACGTGCAGCAATCCACAAGCTCCTACGTGTTTTATATGCACAATCTCAGTTCTCATATTAACTCTATGATATTATAATAAATGATGCAGTGCTTTCTGACCATGTCAGAAGATCTCCTAAGGAAGTTTCCTCCTCAGGTTTTTTCTACTCCCAAATTTTCACAGTCTAATTGCAGTAAACAAAGAAAAATGGAGATGTACAATTTCATCTAGAAGCTAGTATCCTTGAATAGTCTACAAATAATCCAATCATTTTTAAAATATGAAATATTTTAAAGGCTTAAAATTTTCATATATAAGATTTTATATATTATTTGGTTAACAACTAAGCTTTAAGTGGAATTAATTTGGTCAGCATCTTTGAGCTTGGATTAAGCACCTTAAGTAGAAACACCTTTGGATAACTGACAGCAGCCACACATGCACGCATGCACGCACGTACACACACACACACACACGCATATTTAGGATTAATGGCTCAAGGGGAGACATCATTTTGAAAATGGAAAGGCTGAGATAGGTCATAATAAGCCTCTAAATAACATGCAAGCTTGCATGTTTAATTCTCTGGACAAATCACATGCTGTGCTAGAATCTTTACTGCAAGCTTAAAGTGGCCTGTTAACACTTGTCTTTTGGAGCAAAGAAGGAAACTGGAAAGATTATTTAAAAGTTCTCCTTACTAAAAGAAACAATGTTGACTTTGGCAATCTTTACCACTCTTTCCAGCCCTAAGACTGTTTGACATTAGAAATTAAGGACACTGGCCCCTACTAGAGAAACTGCTGTCCCTACCATCTTGGGCCACTTATTTTGCTTCCAAAGAGTTTTCTAAAACACTCCTTTATTTATATTTAGTTTCTGTGTCAGCACAAGTATTGCTAAATTACTCGAATAGAACTATCCAGTCCTCCACTTTTTTCTGTTTCTCTCCAGAAAGTTTTTTTTAAAAGATTGCAAAGCAGTAAGTATGATCCTATTCGGGACTGTGCATTGAGCTAAATCCCAGCCCTTTTAAAATTTTGAGACATAGTCTTGCTAAGTCACTAAGCTGTCCAAGCTGGGCCCAAACTTGTGATTTTCCTGCTTCAGCCTCCCAGAGTATTGGTGTCTTAACTGTACCGTACTTAATTGTATTGTACTTTTCTCACTGCTGCGACAAAATACCTGCCACCCAGAATTAAGGAAAGACAAGCTTATTTAGCTCACAGTTTGTGGAGGTTTCAGTCCATACTCGGCTGGTTCCAAGGCAGGGTGGCACATGGCAGAGGGGCAACAGTTCATGGCAGTGGAAAACAGCAAAAGCAGTAAGAGCAAAAAAGGCAGGAGCAACAGCAAGTCTCCTTCCCTCCCTTATATTGTATGCAGGCTGCCTGCCCCATGGTGGGTGTGGCACTCACACCCCTAATCCCAGCATCGGACCAGGAATCAATCAAAAACTCCAGAAGCCCACCCCAAGACTGCATGAGGCTTTGGGGTGACATCCAGACACAAACCATAATAATCGGGATTACTGGTATAGACCACTACACCTGACATCATGATTCTATTTTTAAGAAAAAAACTTCCTGTTTGTGTACATGTAAAAAAAAAGAAAACAAAGCAAAACATAAAACTAGGAGCTGTTAAGTAGGAAATGACAGCCAGCTATTATGTACTGTCATCAATAAAATATCTTTTCCCTCAAAATTTTTTCTTGTAACACCAAGACCACTCTACCCACTTGACTATTACCTGCTCCCCTCCAACCCAATCCCTGTGACTTTGGTAGTGCTGCTAGCCACAAGAACGGGGTTGTGACCGAAGCCTATCCTAGCATCTACGTATGGTGCAGAGACAAGGGAGACTTTCTTTACTTGAGACTTTACAATGGCATACAGTTTTAGTATATGTGCTGCCAAAACGAGCATAAAACATACAATTTTAAAAGCCAAAAATTCCAGCAAATTCATAGTAAAAAATGGCCATGTCCTACCTCATTTCTCCCCAGCAAATTCTGGCTCTACAGAGGCAACTACTTTTAATTATCTAGCTGTTTAATAATAACATTAAGTATTTACTATTTACTAGGCACCATTCTGAACACATTAAAGGTATTAACTCACTTAATCCTCTTAATGATCCTATGGGAATATATCAACTTGGTGCCAAAATGCTGACAACTGAGTAGGAGGATGCAAACTTCAATAAGCCTCCTGTGTTTCAGTCTGCTGCTCCCACCCAGATCCAGAGTCCTTTGGGTTCACTGTCTCTCAGGAATAAGCCTCTAGTTTTTCACGGGAAAGGGGAGACAGCTGTACAATGTTGGGGATGAAAGCAAAGGCCGGCTCAGTCCAGCGCAGCCTTTCACACCACGTGAGGCTCTACTCTGTAGTGCTTATCTGGTGCCTGCAGGCCTGTCTGCGTTCTGCAGTGCCAAGTCTCTTGCTCCTTTTTCCCTTTCTAAAAAAAAAAAAAAATTCTAACAGTTTCATTGAGGTGTAGTGGTTTGCTTCTCGACTTCTCTCCATTTAGCTTTCCAATTTCTCAAGTTGCTCGATCAGCTGCTATTTTCCAGTTTCCAAATCTTGCCATTCTCTCTAATTTGCTGTCTCTTCTCTCCTGCTCTGCTGGCCCTTGTGGCTTCCAGAGGGAGTGGGTAAATGTATGTGTGTAAACACTTTGTCTTTAACCACTTTATAGATTGTGCACTTTGTGTTGTTTAAATGTTTGACAATGAGCATGTGTTACCTATGTCAAAATTTTTTTTTAACATCTGAAAAAGAAAAAAACACCAGGTACTGTCACTTGATTATAGTGATCCAGTTACAGCAAGGAGCGAAGGGTGGCAGTTTTCTAAGGGCAGAGAAAAGGGAACCTTGCTCACTTCACTGCACTGACACTGGCTCCTTGCATGTGGGCAGGCTATGTGGCCTCTATCCGGAGCCCTCTCCCCTAGGCATCTCAAAGGCCCCTTCTCCCCTGCCTCAGGGCTTTGCTCAAAAGTCACTTCCTCAGTACGACTCTCCATGGCCACCTATTTACCACATTCCCCTTTGGTTTGGTTTGGTTTTGTTCTTCAGCACTGAGGACTGGATCCAGGGACTTCACACTGAGCTACACCACTGGCCCTTGTTACTTTATTTTATTAATTTATTTTGTGATACTGGATACTGAACCCAGAGTCTCTGCACTGAGCTATATCCCTGGTCCTTTTTTTATTTTGAGGCAGGGTCCCACTAGCCCCTAGGCTGCCGAGGCTAGGCTCCTCCTGTCTCAGCCTCCCAGAGTGTGGAGACTGCAGGTGTGTGCCACCATGCCCAGCTCCTCTTACCATCCCTTTTTCTTGTTTTACTTTTCTCCCTAAGAATTACTACCACCTGACACAGTGTGTCTTTGCCTTCTTACTGTTTCTCCCTATGTGAATGTTAGCTCCACGACAGCATAAATATGTATCTGTTTGTTCACTGCTGTGTCTCTGGTACACAGAACAGTACGTGGCACACAGCCAGCCCTCAATACATAATTGTGGAAAGAACTCAGGAGTCGGTGCACGGTCCTAATCAGTACATAGACCACTGGGTGCTTCACTACTTTCTGCCCCATCATAAATATAATGTGCCAATCCCAACGTACTCTATTGAAAATTTAAACTTTAATCAAATACTTCAACATGCATTTCTCACAGATAAAGTTTGTTTTTTACATAACTACCATGACATATTATATCCAATAAGAATTCCTGAATATCATCTAATACCTGGTCTTTGACTGTTACAAAAAATGTCTCATACAATTGGTTTAATTGCTCCTTTTTAAATGCCATTTACAGGCTGGAGATTTAAATCAGCGGCACAGCACCTGCCTGGCAAGCGGAAGGTCATGAGTTCGAGTCCCAGTACCAGGAAAAAAAAAAAAATTAAATGCCATTTACTTGTTGAAGAAACTGAGCCACTTGTGATAAAGAATTTCCCACGTTTGGGATTTGGCCAAAAGCTTCTTTGTGGCATTATTTTATTTGCTCCTCTATCTGCTGTGCTTCCTTAATTAGGTTCAGGTTCAGGATTTTTGTTTTTGTTTTTTGGTACAGTACTAGGGATTGAACCTGGGGGTGCTCTACCACTGAGCTACAGCCCCTGCCCTTTTTTAAAAATGTTGATACAGTCTCTCACTAAACTGCCCAGCTGGGCTCAAACTTAGAATCCAATCCTCCTGCCCCAGGCTTTTTGCATTACTGAAGACTGAACCCAGGGCCTTCAAACCCAAACCACCAAACCACCCAAACCACCAACCAACCCAGGGCTGCCAAACCCAAACCACTGAACCACCCAAACCACCAACCTCTCCTTTTTTTTTGAGACAGGGTCTTGCTGAGTCACTACATTGCCCAGGTGGGGCTCTAACATGGGATCCTTCTGCCTTGGCTTCCTAGAATACTGGGATTATACGTGTACACCACAATGTCCAGCTGCTTCATCACATTTTTGTCTATATATTTATCCCTCTTCCTTTTGGTATATTTCAGCACTAATACAGATAACGGTATATGTTCCCCTCAATATTTTTAGCATAGACAGATCTCACATCATAGGTAGACAAGAAAATATTATGTGCCTTCTAGCCGGGCGTGGTGGCTCATGCTGTAATCCCAGTACTCAGGAGGCTGAGGCAGGAGGATCACTGCGAGTTAGAGGCCAGCCTAGGCTGCAAAGTGAGCTCAAGGTCAGTCTGAACTGCATAGCAAGACCCTGTCTCAAAAAGGCAAAAAAGAAAAAAAAAAAATTATGTTCCTTCTCATGTAATGCAGTAGGAAGTGTATAAGTACCCAGGAAGTATTCTTACCCTAAAGCTAAAAAATAATAACTTGAGCTGTTCTTAGTGGTATACACCTGTAATCCTAGCTCTCTGGGAGGCTGAGGCATGAGGATCCAAATTTGAGTTCAGCTGGGGGAACTAAAAATTTTAGTCTAAAAATTTTTAAAAGCCTGGGGATATAGCTCAGTGGGAAGGCCTAGAATTCAATCCCCAGCACTGCAAACAAAAGAAAACAAAAACAAAACCCACATATGAGGCAAAAATAAAATAATTTAAATATTCTTTCAAATTTGAAAATTTTTCTAATAATATGTTGAAGGAGGAGTCCATCAGTTGCTCTGGGTGTTTTATGCCTAGTACATTCATTATAAAGGACTTAATCAGTGGTCCATCTAACAGTTTTGGCAGACAGTGACGACTGTTATCTAGATCCATTATTTCACTAGAGTTCCAAAGTGCAATTTTCTAGTTCTCTCTCTCTGCATTTTGGCTACAATTCCCCTATAAAGAAAACGTTCCCTTCACTGACTATTTGACTACACTGAAATACAGCTCCTACGGAAAAGGAAAACGAATATTTAATGCCTTCACTTCATTTTTCAATCTATAAAATAAAGAGTTGATGTCCTAACAATCTCCAAAGATATCCTGACGTCCTGAGGATTTTTTGTATTGTTGATGTGTTTTAGTCCATTATTAGCATTGTTCCCCGCCGGCCATGTCCTAGGAATTGAACCCAGGACCTTCACACTGAGTTATATTCTCAGTCCCTCCCTCCTTTTCTAAAATTTTGAGATAATGGCTCACTAAGTTTCCTGGGCTGGACTCAAACTTGTGATGCTCCTGACTCAGTCTTCCAGAGTGCTGAAAGTACAGGCACGTGTCACTATGCTTAGCTGACATTATTCTGTTTAATGCTGCAATTGTTCTATCTGTGCCCACTGGGACTCACTTCAAGCTGGCTCCCAAATTCTATTGACTTAACCCCATTCATCTCAGCTTCCTTGCATTTGGGCCCAACAAGCTGCTTTGAAGCTTATAATATCTGACTTTCACATGAGACCTTAACTCAACGTTTATTTCAAAGAGCTTTGAGAGGTGTTTTTTAGTAGAAAATATTTAGAAACTATAATATGGCACAAAGGATGCCTATTGCCTTGAATTGTTACTGCTTCTTGGCAGTTACAGTGGTCAGTACTAGGAAATATTTAGTTTTTAAAAAGAAGAATCAAATAGGAGCTCATGCTAATAATTCTAATTTAGATAACAATATTACAGAGTTTCTATTCTAATCTTTGATTTTTATATCTATAACTTTTTCCTGATTTCTAATAATATCAACAAAATCACTTAAGACCTATTCTCTTTATCTACATATGTGTGACTCAGTATACAAACTATCGCTAGCAGTAAGATTTGAAACACAGTTTATTATTTCCTTGTGGTTCTCTTTGTTCTGATACGTTTTATTCTTAGCTGAAAGATAATTTAATGGGACAAATCATCCTTGTACCACCCTAACACCATGTTCCTTAATTAGGAGTAAAGGAAGGTAAGTGCAAAAGCTCAAGTCATATCAGTTTCTGGGCCGCTTCCCCTTTGAATTAGCATTCTGAGACAAAAACATAAGGTCTGGATGAAAAATCTGGGAATGATACGAACACAGGAGAAACAAATCACCCCACTAACTAACATGGGGTCAGTGAACTAAAGGAGCAAGAGGCCAGGAAAGAAATCATGAACATAATTCTCATTAAACAGGCAAGATAAGTCAGAGCTGACAGGCAGCTGCAAATTTTCTCAGCAGGAGCTATAGTGAAATGCTGCTTAGCAACACCCGAAGGCAGACGACAATGACAACCATACAAAGAGCCAGAGAATCAGATTTAAGCATGACAATCATACCATCTTACACCAACCAGGTAACGACTACTTCTGGTGAAATGGTAAAATATGATGACTACAGTGCCTATGCTTTATTACTTTCCTTTCCCATTTTTTAAAAAAAAGTGGTAAAAATGATGACTGAGCCAACAAAATTCAGGTACTGACTCACATAGGTAAGCATTTTATAAAAACATCTTAAAATTTTACAAGATACTATGGCAATTAGCTATGAGTTAGGGGACCTATAAGATTTAAAGTTCTTTTTTTGGTACCATGAATCGAACTCATGACCTTGCACTTGTCAGGCAGGTGCTGTGCTACTGAGCTATGTGCCTAGCTTTAAAGTCATCTTATTAGCATTTTTTTTTTCAAATCCTTCTCAACTTTTGATGTATATGGAGCTTTAAAAAAATAAGGTAAGCTGGATATGATGGTATGCTTGTAATCCTAGTTCTCCGGAGGCCAAGGCAGAGTATAGCAAGTTTAAGGAGGCTAAACAGGACTATACAGCAAGACCCCATTTCAAACAAACAAACAAACAAACAAAAGGATACCCAGGTTCTCATGCAGAAAGCTAAATCAGAATCTCTAAAAGGTGGTCATTATCAATACTTAGAAAAAGATTCCAGGCAATTTTATTTGCACTCAAAGTTGAAAACCATTGTGATATAATATATAAATGTGTAAAACAGTACTCAGGGTTTTATATGCATGAGAATCACCTCAGGGGCTTGTTAAACAATGGATTCCCAGGACCTATGAAAGTTTTAGATTCATTTGGTCTGACACGGGCTCAGTAACTTGCATGTTTCACCAGAATGCCAGTAAATATGGATGCAGGTATAACAAATCACACTCTGAGCAACATTTTTGGACATTTTTTGGGGGGAAAATGTAAAAAACAAACACTACAAATACCATCAGGTTGGATTCAGAATTTGGCAGTCACTGACCTGAGTGATGTTTGTGAATATCTGCTCCGACATTTTCTCGCACAGAACAGCCAGGAGCTGCAGGACCAGCAGCCTATGCTCCTGGCCTTCCACAAGGAGAGCCTGCTCTTCCAATTCTAAGAGGCTCTTGGTAGAGAAGGGCTTAGGTTTTAACTCTGCTTCATTGTCCACCGTCAGATGAGTCAACTCCTGGAAACATGAGAAGAAAGAAAAAGTGAAAAAGCCAGTAAAACTAAGGGCTTTACCAACAGCTAGAAAACTGTTTGAAATGCATATATAAGAAAATGGTGCCAGGCGTGGTGGTGCACGCCTGTAATCTCAGCACTTGGGAGGCTGAGGAAGGAGGCTCGTTGAGAGTTCGAGGCCAACCTGGGCTACAAAGTGAGCTCAGGTCCTGCCTGAACTGCATAGCGAGACCCTGCCTCAAAAAAACAAACAAAAGGTGCTGGGGATTTAGCTCAGAGGCACAGCGCCTGCCTGGCAAGCGCAAAGTCGTGAGTTTGATTCCTGGTACCAGAGAAAAACCGAAACAAAAAAAAAAAACAAACAAAAAAGAAATGGTCTGCATTTGTTGTAGCACTACTTATAATAGCCAAAAACTGGAGAAAACCTAAGTGCCCAGAATAAGAGAACAAAGAATGATGTACTTACTATACCAAAGCAGTTAAAATAAACGAACTGGATCTATTTAGATATCAATACAGAATTCAAAGACATTGTTGAGTAAAAAAATATAAGCTGTAGGATAATATACTCATTATGATTCCATGTACATTAAGGTTGCATAATAAAAAACATACCACACATGAAGAACTGGTTTGACACAGTTCTTACTTTATCGGTATTTTTATGATCTCTACCACTGGTCTTCCCTGAACTGAACCCTTAGGCCATATAACTTTCCCAAAGCCCTTTTAGAGATCATTAGACGCCCTTCCTTTACAATACTCAGAACTAAACTTTCACTAATGAATAATTCATTATTGTGGGTTTTATAGGCTTTCACCTACCCTTTGCAAATTTCCTTGGGAAGGGAAAACCTTCAGTTCCCTCACAATTAGTGCTTTACCACAGTAATTGACAGCTCAGAGCAGTGGTGCTTAACTGTGCCTGGCAATTTTGCTCCCCAGGGGACATTTTGCAATGTCTGTGGGACATTTTTGGTCATCATAATTGGGGGTAATATTGGCATTTAGCAGATAGAGGTCAGGGATGCTGCTAAATATCTTATAATGCACAACTCCCTACAAGAAAAGATTTATCTAACCCAAAATGTCAAATGGGCCAAGGTACAGTTGGTTATCCTGGTTTAGAACAAAGCCCTTTTGTTTTTAAATAATCATTTTAAAACAGCATAAATTACACACACATCTCCTTGGAATGCTACTTACAATGAGTGGCTGGGTATCGGGATGAATGTGAACATGGGGGTAAGCATGCACCCAAAAAAAGTGTCGCCTAACTGGGCGTGGTGACACATGCCTGCAGCTAGTATCCGAGAGGCTGAGGTGTGAGGTTCACAAGTTTGAGCTCAGCCTGGGCAACTTAGCAACTTAGTGAGACCCTGTCTCAAAATAAAAATAAAATAAAAAGGGCTGGCGATGTAGCTCAGTATGAAGGTTCTGGGCTTAATTCCCAGTACTGGAAAAAAAAAAAGTGTCCCTACTTCAAGCTCTAGAAATGTTCGCTAGCCAGCATGGCGGCACATGTCTGTAATCTCAGCACCCAGAAGGCTGAGGCAGAGGACTGTCATGAGTTTGAGGCCAGCCTGGAATATACAGTGAGTTCAAGATCAGCCTGGACTACACAGCAAGACTCTGTCTCAAAAAACTAAAAAAAAAATAAAATAAAATTCACAGTTTCGTCTTTGGATCCTTACATACCCTCCCCAACTTAAACGTCACAGACATTGTCTTAGGATGCAGACTTTCTTTAGGGGAAAGACTGGAGAAGGCAAAGCTGTAGGGCACTGGCTAATGACATCTGACAGGTATAACATCGGGTACAAATTATTACTGGAGATAAGGACAAAAGAAAGCACAAGCACTGGCACTAAGAAACAAACTCAAAAAAGATTTCAAGTGGCTACAGACTGAAATGAAGGAAGCAGAACACTAAATCTCTGTTCCGAATACCTGACAAAACAACTGCCAGAAAGGATAGGGGATTACTCTGTAGCTGTAAAACCCACTATTAACTTCAAAAGAGTTCTTACTGTCAACATGGAGCAAAGATTAACCCCTTCATCGATTAATAACTCTGCTTTCTTTGTCTCAAACATTTAGGGGCAGATTACCTTCAAAAGTAGTTGGAGCACATCACTCTGACTAAAGATACATTTTTTCTTTTTACCAACCCAAAGGCTAAGAAAAATTAAATTATCCTTTTGTCTTCTGCTCATTTTCTTAAATTGGCACCCGAATTTTAAGGTCTAAAATTATGAATGTCTTGAAAATTCAAAGGGACTCCAGGGACCACCCCAGGATAAAGATAATCATGAACAACTGTATGGACTTCTTACTTTCAAACAGAAGATGAAGAAGTCTCCCGCCACGCCACACTCCTGACAACAGGTGAGCAAGTCCCCGAGATGCTCCACCTGGCTCTGCTCTGAGGACAGCTTCTGGTACAGGGCTTCGTCTTCATCTTCATTGCTGCAACACAGGGTAAGATTTATCTTGGCAGTGTCACCAAGAGGTAGTTTTTTGAAACCCCATAATAATCTTCTAAGTCTAATAATCTATATCTAATAACCTTTTTTGGAAACTCCGTAATAATCTTCTAAAATAATCTTCATAGGCCTTGGCTGTCATTCAAAGGAATTTTTACTTTTTCAGATGAACTACTGAGAAGATATGGGTAGTGAAAAAAAAAAAAACAATCAACACAGGAGAGGATGCAGTTAACCTCAACTCATGTGAATCAATTAGTTGAGATAAAAAAGTATATAAAGGTCCAGAAAAATTAGTAGAGTGAATACGATCACTGAACAATAAAATCTGTCTAAGTTTCTGAAAAGAACACTATGATTACTTCATAAAATTTCCAAAAACTGCTCAGAACAACTTCTGCTGGGCCAATGGTAGAGTGAATGATAAGTAATGATACAGACCAAAGTCCCTGACGCAGCCACTGGGAGACTAACATCAAGAGTAGGCCTTTGAGAGCAAATGACAAAATGAGAAATCTCTGTCACTCTCTCTTCTCCCTTCTGTCTCTTACTTAGTACAGTGGTTGTCAACCTTTTGGAAACAGACTGGTTTTTGGTTTGTTTTGCAATGCTGGTGATACAGACTATTTTTAGTATCTAATGAAAACTATGGACCCTATTTTCAGAAAAAGAACCATGTTTGCATATTTTAAAAAGTTTGTATGTATAATTATAGATTGTAGATCCCTAGAAGCCTATGCAGAGAACTCAGGTTGAAGAGCTACTGCTTTAGGCAGTGGATGGAGAATCATTCAATCACTGCCTATTAATTTTTTTCCTGGCATGAAGAGAAAGCATAGTTTCAATAAGGACTGTGGACTTTGATCTACATGCACTGAGAAATGTACTAAAGACTGTTAAGATAGCAGTAAGTTATAATTACTAAGCTAAATGTTATAATATTTTCTATACTATCACTAAAGCGGTCCCAGGTAATAAGAGTTCCCAAATGTTTTTCAAAAAAACATGCCAAATAATTTTAAATTCTTTCAGTTTATGAGCCCGGTTATAATCACAAACCTGCTCATGGTTAACAACTCTCACAAAATTAGTAGCTTTAATTTGTTCTGATAATTCTGTTTGAAATCTATATATGTACTTTGTTTTCCTGAAGTCCATCAAATTGAGTGTGCTTTCAAAATTTTTACGAAGTTCATAATGAATGTAAAATTAAATTTCTAGCTAGGTGTGGTGGTGCATACCTGTAATTCCAGCACTCAGGAGGCAGGAGAACATCGTGAGTTTAAGGCCAGCCTTGGCTACATAGCTTAAGACCTGACTGAACTATATAGCCAAAATGTCTATTTCTCAAAAACACAATGTCGCTAGGTGTGGTGGCACATGCCTGTAATCCCAGCACTCAGGAGGCTGAGGCAGGATTGTTGTGAGCTCGAGACCAGCCTGGGCTACAAAGTGAGCTCAAGGCCAGCCTGAACTGCGAAGCAAGACCCTGTCTCAAAAAGACAACAACAACAACAGCAAATCACCATGCCTATGTCTAGCTATGTCTCACAAACAAAAACAAAATTAAATTTAAATATTTCAACAGGGCCGGGGATATAGCTCAGCCATATAGCTCCTGCCTGGCAAGCATAACATTGTGAATTCAATTCCCAGTACCAAAAAAACCAAAACACACACACAAAAAAAAACAACAACAAAAAAATTTTAACAAACAGCATAGGAATGTGATGTGAAATCCAACAGGGTAGCTGGATCAGTTAAAATCTATAACCAATAGGAATTTATGTTCTTAGGTAATATTATCTTCCACAGAGCACCTAAAAATAGAAATAACTTAAAATATGTACTTGTGGTGCTGGGGATATAGCCCAGTAGTAGAGCACTTGCCGAGCATGCACAAGGCTCACTCCCCAGCGCTGAAATAAAATAAAAAAATAAAATAAAATCCTTGAGAGATGTTGGAGAAACCAGTCATCTATTTCACCAATATTTAAATATTTTGTAATCAATTCTTACAAAAAATGAACCCTTATTATAAAACTACCATAAAATATAGCTATCTGACAATTTCCTGTGGGAATAAACCTGACTACACACACATAAACCATTTTGTGAGTCAGAAATAGACCTAGATTATTCTGGTGTTAAGGGTGAACATGTGCTGCCCTTTACTCTGATTCTGGCAAAGGCTCTGAGGAGTAAGTGAGCTTGTTGTGATGCAGAGCTGTGAGGCTCCAGTAAATTGCACCTCCTATTAGCTGGCATCTTGGAAAAAACCTGGAGGATCATTTAAGGCTCACATTTCATTTAGAGACTATAAATAGCAAGCGCCTGGGCTGCTTGAGTTTCTGGTTTCTTTTCCATCAGTGCCCCTTAGTGGCTGAGTTATAGAACAGCCTTATGTTAGAATGAAACCTGGATAGAGAGTAAAGGATGGGTAAACTCACCTAATGGCCTCTCTGATAGTAATCATAATGCCACCCTGGATGGCAGCTCTAAACTGACACAGAGGATGAAGAGAGGGCACAGTTTTGTCCAATCCTGCAAATCCTTTCAGGCTGGCAATTGCTATCTTCCTTTCCAGCTTCTCCAGGATCCATAATAAGATCTCTTGGCAAAATGACCTGGCAGAAAAAGCAGTTATGAATGAGAGTGTCATTTTACTCTATGCATCTAACAAGCTAACATAAAAAGAAAGAAAAAAAGAAAGAAAGAAAAGAAGGAAGGAAGGAAGGAAAGAAGGCAGGCTGTCAGGCTCCACTGTGTTCTAAATGCTGGCACAATCACCTACTACTAACTCAAACACAGGAGTGGGAAGCATACATCTCGTGACTTTCATAAAGCAAATATCCTGAAATTCCATGAGTGACTCACAAATCTTTGGCCCTAGAAGCAACCTTGACATGTCACATGAGTCCCATGTGATTTGTTCTTGTTATTGTTATTTCAAGCATACAGCTTATTTTTGGATCAGATACTGCGAATGAAAGCATCTTCTGATCAAAAACCACCTCCTTTCAATGGGACCAACAGCTGGTAACAAAGGAACAGCATACCAACAAAATATTACGGATTCCTCACTTCCTTTGATCTGTGCCAGTGAAGTAGGAGAGGAACAGAAAGGACATCTGCATCTCCCTTGTCAGTCTTTGATGATGACACAACAGTGCCATGAGGACTTGGGTTTTGAAACTAAAACAAGTTCTATGGATAGTCCTTTGCAATCAAATTCCTTATCTACAGCCTCCATCATTCTCTGTGTTCTTTCTTGTCATTTAGGCTACAATGACAGGCTAACTGAAAGCTGAAGAGTCAAGGGCATATGTAAGCTTTGAATAATGTAGATATAGGCCATCTTCCTTCACCACTTAGCAACCATGCTCATGATAGCTACCATTTATTGAGTTAATATTTGCCAGACACTATGTCAAACACTCTACTTGGTCTTCATAGTAACCCTGGGAGGAACTACTATTACTGCATATCAGATTACACTGGGGCAACATCGAAAAATGGAATTCTACGGAACTTTAGAAAGTATGTAAACTTTTACCAAGATGAAGAAACAAGATAAATGATTATAAAAATAGAGCTATACTAAATATAAATCCTACTTAAATTTGTCCTACTTAAATTCCAACACAAAACAGTATTTTTTGGATAGCAGAGAAATTCTTTTTTTTCCTCTAAACAACACAGTATCACTCATATCAAATCCCAAGCTAACTACCACGTGCCACAGCCATGCCCAGATTTTTCAAACTTGTTTTCTCACTCCTCACAAGGTCATTATGCTCTATCCTGTTTCCTCCTTCCTGGATGTGTAATTGCAATATTTTTCACTGGCATGTTTATACACAGAAGCAGATTTTGTCTCTGATGTTTAGGATAGAGGCTGAGGAAATTCATCCTAAAAACTATATCCAAAGCCCTTTGATCTGCCAATCTTTCTTTTCTAGAAGAACAGAGTAAGGTTCCCCAAATGATTTTCTGACTTTGAAGTGAAATAAGTGGCCTATATCTTCACAAATAAGATTCTATAAGCAAATAAGGTAATGTTTATTATTTACCTTATGTGAGACACAGTCTGCTTTGTAAAGCAGTAGAGAGCAAAGAGCATCCTCAGGACTGGAAGCAAGGAATCCAGCAACACTGTGAGAGGTTCATTCCCCACCACGTACACCTAGGGGAAAAGGACATGGTGAGACACCATGCAAGTGCAAGGCCAGAGCAATGGTAATCAAATACCAGAAACTTGGCAGGACTTAAGAGTCTTACCTTAGAGCAACCCTCTCTTCCTAAGGTACACAATTTCAGCTCTAGGGGTGTGCTCATGTGGTAATAGAACTATTTGAAACTGGCAGACAGGATCAAACTTGGAGAGACTCAATTAGAATGTCCTTCTACGCGTGCACCCTGAACCGCCCAGTGCAGTGTGTAAATTAACTCATTTGCTGACCTCTTCCTCCTAACTGTGGCCACCTCTAAGCTTCCTAATCTGCCTATTATTCATCTATATAATTATCTTACTACTGGTCAGGTGTGGTGGCGCACCCCTGTAATCCCAGCACTTGGGAGGCTGAGGCAGGAGGATCACTGTGAGTTCAAGACCAATCTGGGCTACAAAGTAAGCTCAAGGCTAACTTGAGCTGCACAGCGAGACCCTGTCTCAAAAAGACAAAAAATAAATAAAAATTATCTTACTACTGAAGACCCTATTAGGAAGTAACAATTACCATCAAAGAGAAAAAACTTAAAAGCAGACCTTAGAAACCAGACATATTGTTCAGTGGTAGAGCATGTGTTTAGTATGTGTGAGGCCCTAGGTTGAATCCCCAGCACCAAAACAAAAGACAAATACAAAATAAAAAGCCCCTAGATTTGAAATAAAACACAACTTACTCTGGATTCATCACTCTTAGGATGTGACTGCCAAATCAATAAATGTTCAAAGAAATACGCTGCACACCTAGATCTGCATCAGCTTTACACAGTTAAATACAAGAGAATGCTGATTTTGTGGTTTTGTGGTTTTTGTTTTTGTTTTGTTTTGTTTTGTTTTGTTTTTGCCTTTTTGAGATAAGGTTTCACTGTGCAGTTCAGGTTGGCCTTGAACTCATTTTGTAGCCCAGGCGGGCCTCAAACTCACAGTGATCCTCCTCCCTCAGCCTCCAGAGTGCTGGGACTAGAGGTGTGCGCCATCATGCCTGGTCTGAGAATGCTGGCTTTTATTTTTCAATAAGCCTAGCATGATGTATTCAAGTCAACAGACTTTCACTGAGTTCAGTACTGTCCCGAGGCACTACAAGTTGAATACAAAAGTGAATAATAATTCTTATCTCCCAGTTGCTTGTGATATAACAAGACAAAAAAAAAAGTAAACAAATCATAATAATAGTTCAAAGCAAATAATTTAAAGTGTCTAAGGAAAAGAACTGAGATATTTCCAGCCTGTGAAAATGTCTCCATGACCTTTTGTTTCATTTGGAATATTTATTCCCTACTCTAAATAATAGGATTTCAAAATGTACTTCTGTTATAATAAATTAACTAAAATCTGACAGTATAGACAATAATGATGATACAAAGAAGAGGCGCTAACAATCATATATGTATTCCAGGACCTATGGTAAGGCTTTTTTTAAATCTTTAAGGTACTGTGCCAGATTCTTTGGAGTTAGCTCATTAAAATTGTAACAATCTCCCAAAGTCAATTTTAGCACCCCTACTTAAAGACGAAGAAGGGAAAGATTAAAGAGGCCCTTATTTATAAAAAGAGTACTGAGGTAAGAATCAATACTGTTTATATGAAATGAAAGGTCATGGAGGCATTTTTACAGGCTGGAAAAATCTCTGCACTTTTCCAGCAAACTCTGTTCCTGTTAGCCAACCTAACTTTTCAAGTTCTCAAGCCTCCTGACTCCTCTGTGGAGCCTGATAACCGAAGAGCCAGCTTCTTGTGCGTGATCTAACCTCTATAAGTCCAGCTAAATGAAGTGCCTTGTAAGGCAGTGCTCAGAAGTAATACGCAGGCCTAATGACAGTATCACCAATTACGGAGGTAAAAGAAGAGATTCCCCCAGATAACGTAAAGGGCCTATTGTTTAGCTCTGAATCTTGTGTTCTCAGAAGTAATCCCCGTGGAGCCATCCTTCCTTACCAGCATCTTTAGTACAAGACAAACCAGAAGGAGTGAATCTCCATTATTTCCTGGTTTGACAGGGCCTAAGCACCTCAAACTTTAACATGAACTCAATCAAGCACATTTGCGGGCTTATATACTGTTGATAAATTCTTCCAATTTTTAAAATTCTCTTCTCTCTTACATTTTTCTGTATTTCCTTATAAGGAATAAGTACTACTTTCATATTCAGAAAAAACTGTGCAGCTGTTTAAATACATCTTTTATGTATTTTTATGTAAAAGTTTAGAAAGTGTCTCCTGAATACAGTTATATGCAAAGCATGCTTGTGGGGCTAGGAATGCAGCGGTGACTAAAGTCTGTTTCAAAGAAGCTTACATCCTAGTGGGGCAGACAGGTGATAAGCAAATCACTAGACATTACCAGGCAGAAGTAAGTGGTACAAAGGTAAAGAAAACAGGTTAAAGAGGTGGCGATGAGGGGAAGAGTATTTAGAAGAAAGAGAAAAATTAAGAATAGCCCTTAGGAATGAACCAACTAATATTCATTAAATTCACAAACACAAATACAGAAATGGAACTTTTTTTTTCAAAGTGAAAAGATTTAGAGGTAAAGTCTCCTTTTGGTGCAATTTAATAAATAAATTTCTTCTACAATATCTTAAAAGAATTTCAATGACCTCTGCTTGGGACATGCACAACTGTCACCTCTTTTCCAACACCAATAGGAAATTCTTCCCTGTATTGAGCTCAAATCTACTTCCCTTTAAACTTTCTTGAAAGCATGTCTATTTTTCTTTTTCTTATTTTTTTCTGTACCAGGAATTGAACTCAGGACCTTGCACTTGCCAGGCAGGCACTGTGCTACTGAGCTACATCACTGGCCCAAAATATCTATTTTTCAAAAGTTTTAGATTGGTTACCTAAAAAGAAACCAAAATCCAATTTATTCTGTCTGCCTTAAGGGTTGCTATGTATTCTGATGATCAGACTGCATTTTATAGCTGAAAGACAGGTCATGGTACTTATGAAATTAACCTAGCTTGAGTTCCACCTCTTCCATAAGCCTGTTTTATATTTCACTATTCAAGTGCTCATTCATTCAAATATTAAGCATATAAGCACTATGAAACGATATGTTTCCTTCTACAAATTCCAATAGCACTTTAGAATTTGTAGGGCCAGGGATATAGCTCAGTGGCACAAGTGCCTGCCTGGCAAGCACGAGGTCGTGAGTTTGATTACCGGTACCAAAAAAAAAAAAAAAAAAAAATAGAATTTGTAACATATAATAGTTCCATGAATATACAGCTAGCTCTCAACTCCTCAAATGCGCTGGAGGACAACTTAGGAGAGTAGATTTTTTTGGTACTTTTTTGTACTTTTTTTGTACCTAGAGTCTTTTTTTTTTTTTTTTTTTTTTGTACCAGATCTCAGGACCTTGCGCTTGCCAGGCAGGCGCTTGTGCCACTGAGCTATATCCCCGGCCCTGTACCAGAGTCTTTTGTGCTGAGTTATATCCTAAGCCCCTCTTTCTCCCTCTGTTTTTTTTGTTTGTTTGCTCTGAGACAGCATCTTGCTAAGTCACTAAGCTGTCTAGGCTAGGCTCAAACTGGCAATCCTCTTGCCTCAGCCACCAAGAGTGCTGAGATTATAAGCATGCACTACCACACCAGGGTTTATTCCTTCTAACAATGTAGAATTTGAATTCCCTCTTGATAGATTTTTTTTTTTTATTAAATTGTATGGTACCTAATTTTTTATGAATAAGCACTTTAAACATAGCATTATACAATTTAAGGAAATCCCTACTGTTACACCTTTTTTTGCAAGTCTTGCTAAATTGCCCAGCCTGGCTTCAATCTTGTGATTCTCCTGCCTCCGCCTCCCAAGAAGCTGAGATTACAGACATGCATTACCTTACCTGACTTATTATTGCTCTTATGAAACAATTATTATCATGTACTGCACAAACCAGACATTTAGCTAAACATTTAACATATACTCAATCATCACAAGGGCCTGCAGTTTAAGTATTTTTGTTCCTATGCTAAAAATGTAGAAAACTGAGGCTCAGAGAATCTGTATCAATTGAGCAAAGATACCCTAGTAATAAATGGTAGTGCATGAGCTAAGATCTGACATAAAATCCATTAAGAATCCATAGGGGAAAAAAGGACATTAGTGATATCAGGGATAGGAGGAGGGAGGAAGAAGGACTGATTGCTTAATGGATCCAGAATTTCCACTTGGGGTGATGAGAAAGTTCTAGAACCAGATATTGGTGATGGCTGGACAACAATGCAAATGGATTTAATGCCACTGAATTTCACACTTTCAAATGGTTAAAATGATAGTTTTAAATTATATGTATTTTCCATAAAAAAGTAAACAATAAACAGAGACGGGGGTAACTAAGTGGTGGAGCACATGCTTAGCATGAACAAGGCCCTGGGTTCAATCCCCACCACCAAAAAAAACCCAAAAAACCCCAAATTCACATGTCTCCTGGTCGCTCCATCTCTGCCTCCCCTGTGCATAACGATATTTTCCTTACTTCAATCCCTAACTCATTTCAACTTTACCTAAAGCTGTCTCCATGCTCAGAATCAGTAGATCCTAACTTATCAGACTACTGATAACCCTAGTCCTACAAACTCTGCAAGGCCGAGCTGAAATTCATGAGTGGAACCATGGACAGCAGCCTCTATGCAGCCCCTTTCTCCTACTCAGTCTCATTATATGGTCCCCTTTCGACAAGTCCTCAGTAGATATCCAGGAGCAGAACCTGGCCAGCTCTTTCCAAGGATTGCCTCTTCTTTCCCATCACTTGCCTACCACTGACTGAACTCACAGCTTTGCTCTATACTTGACATCCAATGTTTTCCTCTGTTTTGACCCCCAAAGTAAAATCCAGTCACTTCTCCTTTAATGTGGACTCCCTGATCATTGGGTTATTTTGGGTTTAGTAAACTATGCAGGTACATAGGTGGTGGGACAGATCAGCCAATGCTGTACTGTGATCTCTTGGTGCCAGAAATG